AAGATTATTAAATGCGTTTATTTCTTTGCAGCCCCGAGCTTACTCCTCGCAGACAATCGTTTTTGGCAAGCTGATTTGGCCATTTCCCAGGGATTACCATGTACTTAAGTCTCTTTTACTTTGATTTAATCCGTCCCCACCATCCGTCCCACCCCCCCAGACAAAATGAAAATCGCACTTCAATTGTGTTTCGGCCTTCCCGAAACTCAACAAAATACAAAAAAAATACTGAGGAAATTCCAAATGAGAAATTATTTCCACAGCCCACATGTGTTTGGCATCAGTCCGGGGCAGCCATTAAATCCGCCTCATAACGGACGCAACAATTTGTCTAGCCGATAATTGTCGGAGCGAGGAGCGGGGGAAGCCAAGGAGTGCGAGTACACGAGTATGAATGTGGCCAGAGCTGAGGGAAAAGCACACTCAATTGGAAATGGTGCAACTCATTCTAGAGGGCGGGAGTTGGGGGTTCGGGGTTGGGCTATAGCGGAGCCTCAGCCTCAGCCTCTCCCCTTTCGTGTCTGACGACCACCAATCATGCAAAAAAAAAAAAAAAAAAACAAACCCGATAAAAAACCATCCGAAAACATAAACAATTGGATCTGATTAAATTAATTTGATAACCAGTCCGGAAAGCTCGGACAGCTCGGACAGACCGGACAGACCGGAGAGGGCTTGGAAGCACTTGAGATATGACAGGGAACCACAATTCTTTCTTGGGTCTCTTAGGGGTTGCTCGTGTGCGCGTTGCGTGCTCTGCTAAATGGGAATGTGAAATATGATTTTAATTTAAATAAATTTAGTTTAATTGAAAGCCTGGCCAAACGGGCTGGCCGAAAGCAATTACAGATAGTTTAATTCTTCTTTATTTCTGTGGGCCCTTTTGTGATAGCCGAGTGCCATAAATTACATAGATTGACAGCCAAGATTCTCGAAGCATTTCACTTGGCAGTGTTCAATAAAACTCTACCGAAGCGGGACTACAGCTAAATAAAGACTGCGTCCTGGTGCGACTTTACTGCAAGGATATGTGCCAGATAAAACTAAGTGAACTGCAGTTACATTGTGTTATGCTGTCATGAATGTCATGAATTTTCCAGAGTTGTACATCAACCAATACAAATAGGTATCTTTCGGTAAAGATATACGTATATCTTGTTTAGTTATGGCATTGATTCACATTTGAGACCAGAAGTTAGACTAGAATGTCATTGGCAGTTGCCAATGCCGAAGTTGGATTCCTAATTTATCCCATTTAAGCTTCTTTTCTTTTTTCTTCATATAATTTTATCACTTTTAATACATTAAATTCTTTCAGTCTAATATTTTACTTAAGTTATTAAACTAAATGTAAACGCTCTTGGGGTTACATAAATTGCAGACACGAGTTCTTGCCCGCTCCTCTCATTTTTGCCTGCCATTCCACGCAACTGGTCAAGTGTCCGCCGTGGCATGCGTGTGTCAGGTAACAAGCACACATACATACATACATATATACATATGTATGTACATGTGACAGCTTGTTGGCTGTTGAAATGGTTGTGTTTGTGTTTTTGTTTTTGTTTTTGTCGCTATTATTGTCACAGGCCACGGCTCTGCTCCGGCAACAACATCCACTTCCGCAAATCATTTAGTGATTCAATTAAGCGCGAGTGGAGGCGTCAGTTGCGGGGCGTGGCCAACTAACCATAACCAATTTTTAACCGTACCGTCGCGACGGTCGTAGCTGTTGGTGCTGCTGTGAAGTGCGTTGGCTTGGCCAATGCTTATGCAGCGATCGTGGAGGGTCGGGGCGGGGCGGGCGGGGGCGAGTGTAATGTGAAAGCCACTGAAGAGCCAATGACTTGCAGTAGGTGATGACGAGGAGTAGGGTGATGGGGGCGGACACGTGTGTGCATCCGCGGCAGGATTTAAGTGGCAGCTGAGATTCCGCCAAGCGAGCAAAATGCTGCAAGTGCTGTTGCCGCTGGCTGCGTCATCGTCCTTGCGCTTGTCACTGCAACAGCGTCAACACGGTTCCAGCCATCTGCTCCCTCTAATCCTTTCTCTCCGAGTTGTTCATTTGCCAATTACTCGCTGCGCTCAGCGGGCCAGCACCGCACCCACCCATAGCCTGGCAGTGGTACGGCATGGGACGGGACTGAGTTGAGTTTGCTGAGTTGTTTATGTTCTCGTGGCAGAGACAGAGACTGCCTTCTCCGATTCGAATGCCACTGTAATATTAATTATTCTGTCTCGAACTGTATTTTCCCCCTGCAAATGGCAAATGGCAAATGGCTCCCAAGTATGGGGAGGATGATGATGACGCTCTTTACTAATTGAGTTCACATTACTTGCCGAAATATGTTCTGTATTTTTAGCCAAATGTTCTTGGTTTTATTAGCCAAGCGTGAGTCGGCAACAATCTGCAGTTGGATTTTCAGCATTTTCCTCTGCAGTGATGAATCTCTTTGGCCCAGTGGAAAATGTCAAATCGTTTAGAGAGGCATGAGATTAGCAAGTGTTGATAGACAGACCCGAAACGTGACTGGCAATTGTCGATTGGATGAGTGGATGGGGATGACGGTGGGGATGGGGATGTGAATGCGGGTGTGGATCTGGATCTGTGCAGACAGATGGCAGGGACTCTCAAAGTTGCACAAAGTTTTGCCAGGCCTGGGCGTGGTGCGAAGGAAACTTTTGGGTGACAAAAGATGAGGAAAAGTGTTGAGGTAATGTTTCAAATGATGAATGATTTATCTAGCACACTTCTGATTGGTTTTGAATGCGGGTGGAAGTTTATTTGTTAAGCCCTCCATACGACTATTTGAGCTGAAATTACGGACATCAGTGTCCCCATTCTAGTTGGAGCCAGAATCTTTTGGCATTTTAGGAACGAATTTCCACTCTGTGGGCATGTAACCTCCTTTAATCCTCTCTGTGACTCAGGCCTTCATTATGGTGGGTCTGTTGGGCACTCGCTGCCACCGCAACGGAATCCATCAACCGGATCGACTTTACATATCCGCTCATTTCGCTAACGAGCAGAGCCACCGAAGCGCCCAGCAGAGCCGAGTAGAACGAACCTATGATGTCCGATGTCCGATCCACACCTGATGACACGGTTTACATAGAGCAGAGCAATTTGGAGCGCACTTCACTCAGGCTGTGGGGCTTTTGGGGCGGATAGATTTAACCCAACGAACGGTGAATGTGAATGCCATGCGACGCGCCCCTTCACATTCCCCACAGCTGCAGCTACAGCTGCAAGTGCACAAAACGCTGCTTCTTCTGCTGCCGCAGACCCTGCTGCTGCCCAGCTCCTCCTCCTCCGCTTTTTTGCTGGTTTGCTGGGTTGACAATTTAATTGATGTGCACTCACACAAAGGCTTTTGAAGCGACCGCTGAAAAAATAAAATGACACCTAGCCATATGCACATACATATGTACATATGTATGTATATACATATATGTATAAACATCGCAGAGTATCGCATATAGGGAGCCGAGAGCCAGAAGTAGGTCAGGCATGCAACCCGCTGTCACCGCTGAATAATTGGAGAGGGTCGTCTCCCCAGCCCAAACCCAAACCCAACCCAACCCGAATCCGTAACCCAAACCAACAAAACCAAACCAAAGCCAAGCCGGAGCCGGGCCAGAACCCCTCTGGCCACTGGCAAGGGGCTGGGGCAAAAGAACAGCGGCAACTGCTTAATGGGTTTAAATTTTGATTTCGTTTGACACGCTGCTGACACAACTAATAAATATCTGGGGCCGCGTCAAGTGCAGGGCCGCGACTGGCCAATACCAACGTCTCCCCCGCAGACACCCGCAGATCGGCAGCGCCACTGATTGATTGTCTGCTGGCATGGCGCTCGGGTAATAGGTGTAGGTGTAGGTGATAGGTGATAGGTGCCTACGCCTACCCCAGAGCTCAACCATCGAATGCACTGCATGAATTACGACGAGTGGCATCGGTGATAACTGCCCAGATAAGCGCCTGATTAGCAGTAGCCCCTCAATTGGAGTTGCACTCGTCCCAATATTTACCCAGTTATTCAAGAGTGACGCGAGCCCCTGGTGCTCCCAGTGCTTCCAGTGCTCCTAGTGCTAGTGCTGTGGCCATCAATCACTTGGCCTGTTTGCACGAGCAGCCGCAGCCCGAACACTGGTGGGGCCAGCGAGGCGTCGCCCAACGAGTGTTGTAAATTTTACAACATAATTTTTGATAATGCTTCCTATCTGCGCGCAAACATCTCCAGAGCAAACAAACACTTTGCATGTGTTTTACGATTCCATTGCTCACAGCCCATGGCCCATGGACTTGGTCTCCGTCCCTACTCGGTCACCTCACCTCACCCCTTCCTTTCCCTTTCCCTTTCTCAGGCTACTGATTTACTGATTTTTCTGCAGGGCCCTGTCGCGCACACACAGTCCCGAACTGAGGTGGCTGTAAATTCTTTGTTGGGCCTGCGACACATTGTAAAACAATTTTCCTCACTTTTATTGCTCTGGTGACATTTTTTGGCAGGATTTAATACTCGGAGTACGACTGCGAACAGATAAGGTGGTGAGAGTGGGGAAAGGTGTTTGGGATGCGGATTGAAGGCTTCTTTCTGGCTTGGGTCGAGGTTGAGTCTGATAAGTGTGAAGATACTAAATATCTGTATAAATACGATATACGATCCCCTCCCCAAATTATGGAAGCCACTGAAAACACACACACCAAAACTACGAGTATACGAATTTATCCGGATAATCTGAGTTGCCAGCAGAAGGAGGTAGCTTCAAGAAGCGGATACTGGGGCGATACGGACGATTGATAATCTTTACATGGGGCTGACTCACAGTCGAACACCAAGAGATGCAAGAGATGAAACCCAAGAACATGAGGGCAAAACAAATGGCGAGAAAATATACAGAGCATATGAATGTTTACTTAATTGATAATCGATTTGCTAGCCCCGAAACTAGGAGGAAAGGGAACCGACTTTGGCGATTCTCTTGGGGCGATAACTCACCGATTAGCCGCAACACCTCGTGCAGATTCAGGAAGATGTTTAGGTGGGCCTGGGCGCCGCTTAGGAGGTAAAGTAATCCAATAACGAAGACATTTCTCCGGATGCCGGCCATTTCGGTGGGTCTCTCGTCTCTGCTCTCTGACACTTTTCGCTTTGATGAACTGTTCAATTTATTAAATGCCGCTACAAAGTTCTCTTGGTTCTGTTTATGTTTTATTTAATTTACGTATGGCACTTGTGGCACTGGCAAGAACTGAATTTTCGCTGCACTGGTTTAATAATAATATTATAATTATGTGTCACTGCATTTCAGCTCATATAATTCTCCGAAGAACTCGAATCTAACGTTGCCCATGAAATCACCGACTCTACCCGCGCTGGCTTTCCGCGACGAATTTTTCTTGCGCGCACCAGGCTGAGGACGTCCTTGCTCGACGATTCAAAATTCAGTTATTTCAGTTACTTGGGCCCGCAAAAGCCCAAAATATCCCCGACTTGCTGCAAGCCAGAGAATAATATTATTTATTTATTTATTTTATTTACAGCCGACCGTAGATGTTGATTTTATATATTTTTGGAACAATATTCGATATTTTTGTGGGACACTACGTTGTTTCCTTGTCGGCGGTGCTTAAGTGTTTAATGTTTAAGTTCACGAGTTGAGTTCAAGTTTCGTTCAATTTGCGCGCGCATGACCGCCCGTGTTCAAAATTTTTTTGTTTTGAACGTATCTCGACTTTGCTCGACATGTTCATACCATTTTATGTTGCTGTATGTTGCTGGAATCCTGTGACGTCACAAGTTTTCACGACAACGAGGTGGAGTCCAGCAGCATGCTGCTGGCATGCCACGGTAAATGTTGCTGCGAAACATGTTGCTAGAAAACCTGCCATATGCAACATTTTATGAAGGCAAAATGAAACTACATCGACACTAGATTATGTATACATTGTCATTTTTCTCAAAGGTATTTTGCATTGGATCGATCTTTAAACATTGTTATTAAACTTTAAAAATAATTCTATCGAACATGCTGCGGAAACAAAACATGCTGGTCAACATTTACAAGCTACACTTCGTACAACACCGCAGCATGAAGAAACATTTTCGGAGGGTATAACAGTTTCAACACTCAACAAAAACTTAACAGTGCAACAACATTTAAAGTAAAATATCTGAATAAAAAATAAGATTCTCTTGGTTTTTCCGGCTCAAATAACTGAAATAATTGAATTTTTAATCGTACCAGGGTCGTCATTCGTAAAAACTAACTGTTAGTTCAACTGCCTTTTTTGTGCCCATCTTGATCTTACGGCTGGATAACCAGGCACCGTGCCCCTAATCCGAATATGGACATGGACGGCTCTAGATATGTATATGTATATATGTACATATATAACCATTTTTCGCATTTCAAATTTGGTTTCTTAATCAAATTACCAATTTAGTTGAACGCGAGATTTTTTTGTACATGCTCTTTGAATATTCCTTTACCTAATTTTAAAAGCCCTTTTTGCGGTTCTGACCCGTTTGGCTTCTAGATCGATAGCAGTGATGCGAAAAACGGCCAATAATTGGCTGACGAAGCTCTAATTCCCATACAAAATCCAAATCCGAGTCTATATCTGTCTGTCTGTCCGTTCGTCTGTCCGTCTTGATGAGCGCATAGATCTCAGAGACTACGAGAGCTAGAGCAACCAAACTTTTTTTCTCGACTCATGTGATATCACACTACTACAAGTTAATTTCAAAATTTTGCCCCACCCCCTTCCACCACCACAAAAGACGAAAATCTGTGGAGTCCACAATTTTGAAGATACGAGATAACAAAAAACGCAGTATTATCGTAGAGAATGACCATACCTACGAGATTGATGAATCTGGATCAGGTCGGAAGAATGAAGAAATTTATTTTCAGTTGCTTACCCAGCCCCTCTCTGCACTGAGGAACCTACATATTCTCTTTCTCGCTCGCACATACAGTGCAGTGCGCCACCTTTCGCGGAGATGTATAATCTACATTGCAGATGTGTAATATACATTGTAGATGAAGATGACGGAAGTAACAAAAAAAATATAAAATATTTTAGAATTCTACATATTCTACTGAGTGCGGCTATAAAAATAGAGTCGCGTCCACAGAAGCGACTTACAACGTTCCTTCTCGTTTTTTTCAATTTTATCTTGACTTTACGAGAATATATCCCTAATTTTCTCGAGTTTTTCTACATGCTCTTTAAATATTCCTTTCAAAGTTGAGAAACAGACAGAAATGAGGTCAATATACTAATGATTTCATATATTTCATCCATTAGACAAGGAAGATCTGAAAATAAATCCGAAAACAGTTCGATAGAAATTTTTAAGTTTATTAGATATTTCTTTCAACTATTTCAAAGTAAAAATTGTTTAAATACATATCGCATGATTCTTTTTTCGGTATCTTTATACAGGGAAAGTTCGGAAATTAGAGCCACCACAAATTAGAACTGTCCAGAAATTAAAAACGGGCATTTAATGCACTGGCGACTCTGAAGAATAAAAATATAAAAGTATTGCCCACACAGTTTTGCCTTATGGGTTAAAGTAAAAATAAAAATGGGAATCCCCGAACCACATTGCGCACATCTGCAATGTAGATTCTATACTTCTCTTCGAAAGATCGCGACGTCACAGGGCAGAGTGTGTACAAGCGAGAAAGAGAATAAGTAGTGTCAGCAGCGCAGGAGGAGGTATGCAAATTAATTTCTTCATCATTCATCAAGAATATATATACTTTATGGCGTCGGAAACGTTTCTTTCTCTGCGTATCACACATACACTTATACCACAAATACAGCATACCCGTTAACTCTTCTAGTACGTAACACTGTGCGGAAAAATATAAACTTTTAAATGTACTATGTACGAGACAAAGACTAGGTTGTAGGCCCGGAGGAGTAGATCACTGCCTCATACTAAAAATATATACAGAGGTATATACCCCTCAAAATCTTTTTAAAAAAATCATAGGGCGCGATTTGGTTACTGTGCGCCCTTTCGTAACACTGCCCGACACGATTTTCCTCAAGGAACCAAACCAACTTTTTCTGAAAGATTTGGGGCTTAGAAACTGTTTAATGATTTTTTTTTCTATTGCAGAACTTTTTTCTAAAGAATTTTAAAAAAATTTGTTATAAACGTTTTTAAGAGGAAGTGATTCGATTTAAACTACTCCTAATTTATAAACCTTTACACAAAAAATTAAAGGACTCAGGATATACTTTTTTTCAACTTTTCCTGAGTTTATATGTCAAAATTTCGTAAAAAAACACCGTACTAAATTCATCATTTGTGCATTTGAAAACTAAATATTTCCCAGACGGTAAGCTAAAATCAGAAATTGTTCGGGTCAATGTTGACAATGTTGGAGAAACATTATGAGTGATAAAAACTTTAAATTTGGGTCGGGCATATCCATTCTATCGCCACAAATCAAAAATCCTTTGAAAGGAAAAGTTTGAAAAGTTTTCTTATCAAACTATTATTTTTTGTTTGAGTTAGTTTCTTTTTTTCTCAGTTAAAATAATGAAAGTGCCAGTTACCAAATAGCGGTTTTAAAATTTTTTAAAAAGATTTTGGGTGTATATTGCAAATCCAATTTTTGTGGGGTGCAGTGTACATTTACAAGTTTCCCATTTGTCACATTTTTTTTTACATTACATTTTACATTTACATTTTACATTACATATTTTACATGTAAATATAAAACATCTGCTTTTTTTCTTTGCTAACACGCCACCTATTACCATTACAATTACTATTATTATTACCACCAAATACGCCATCTATACTACATACTCCGAAATTGGTGAACATATGTATGTGCATATATATTGAAATACGTCAAGTATATGCGTCAAGCTGGCTTTCCAGTTGAGTTGGGAGATGCGCTGTGTCAGAATTTTTAGATTGTTTTACTTTTACTGGCTTGGTAGCTGCGTTTTGCTGGAAAACCTCATTTTGTATCAAGTAGTGTATCTAGAGACGGCTACGAACAATGTCACAAAATTATTATCATCAGCCCAGCTGTAAGTCGATGGATGGATCAACGGACACCTGGTGGGTGGGGGTGGGTGCCGGAAACTTGGGCGTGGGAAATAAATAAAATGTAAACATAAAATCTGTTGTTTGATTTATTTGAAATTGCATTTATACATACATATACATACATACTATCAAACAAAAATACCGAAAATACCAAACTATATCATCAGTATATTGTCGTTATATTTCTGAGGGTCGGGTCAGGATTAACCACACATTTTTCTTCAGTGGTGACACCTGTTCAATTTTAACCACACATTATGTGGAGGAGACTGGAGACTCTGGAGACTGATCTGAAAGTCAGAAAGTCAAGCAAGAGGCCGGAGGAGGCACGCCTCACAAGTGGTTCTATATGGAAAAAAATAAAAGAGCACATACCGATGCTTTCAAGCAGCTGAACACCGCACATTCTTCTGGCGAAGGTTTCAGTTGATTGCAGAAATATTGAATACGCTTTCACAGATCTTACTCTCACCTTCCGTGTCCTTTGCTGGAATTCCCACTCGCTTTGGACGATGGAATGGCCTTCTTTCGATTCGAAATGCCTTACGATTCGAAAGGCAGGTCTTAATATAAGTTATGTTATAAGTATAGTCTTAATCAGTGTACTTATACTTATACGTATACTTGATGTTTGAGCATTCTAAAGTCTTAATCATTGTACTCACGCCTTTGCTAGCTCTTCGATTACGGGCAACAGCTCCTTGGGATGCGCCTTACGCTTATGCGAGCGACAATTCGGAGAAGTCCTTGTCGCAGAAATTACACTTGTACGGCCGTATGCCGGTGTGCAGGATGAGATGGGACTTCAATGTTTTGGTACGCTTGAATTCCGCACCGCAGAGCTCACACTTGTATTGCCGCTTGTCGGAGTGGACTATTTTGTGCTTGTTGAAGGTTCGTCGCTCTTGAGCTTCAGTCCGCAGATGTTGCACTCGTAGATGGTGGCACTGTGCGTGTCGGCATGCACCTGGAAGTGGATTCAAAGATTAGATTACCCTGAGTCTGGCCTTGTTCTCGGTGGCAGATGGGCATTCGAAGGGACACTCGTCGGTGTGGACCAGCTTGTGATCATTGAGAGCGGCGAGAAAATTGAAGCTCTTTGCACAGATGTAGGGCTTCATCTGCTTCCATGTGGCGCTTGAGGGTTCCCCGGCGTGGTGAAGAGCTTCGCACAGTGCGGGCAGGAGTTGTCCGCCTTGTTTTTGGCCGGAAAGTGACTGCGCTGGTGGGTCTGCAGCTGAGGCACTGTGGGAAAGCTGGCCCCGCATTGGTGGCAGTCGAGATTTGGCAAGTCGTTGGGCATGACATTATGCACTTCCAGCATGTGTCTCTTGTATGCATTCGGCTTTTTGTAGGGTTTGCGGCAGATTTCACATTTGTATGAATATATGGTAGGTTTCTCGTCCTGGGAGTTTGGCACAGGGTCATCCTCAACATCGGATTCTGAGCTTTTGGCAAGCTCTCCTCTGACGGCTCTCTTCATATGGTTTCACATCATTATATTCCTCGTTTTCGCTCTCTTCTATTATGCTATCCTCGTAGCACTCTTCTATCCTCTGCCTCAACATTCTCATCTTCGGCTTCCACTTCCTGCTTTTGCTCTTCCTGTATTTTCACTTGCACATGGAAGTCCTGTGGCGTTACGCTCTCGACATGACGTGCTTCCACTCGTCAGTAGACCACAATCCGTATTACATTTTAATGCACTTATTAGGAATATTCTTAGAACAGAAAACTCTGTAAAACAAAACCAATACATTTTTTCTTTATATTCATATTCTTATACTACTCCTTTCGTGTTTGCACGAAATGCTATTTACTCTGCATCTAACGTGCCGAAATATTTCTCGTATTTCTCGTACGGACGCTTGTCGACAAGCTGAAGGTGTTCCTCCACGTATACGCGAAAACATTTCATTTCAATATAGTTCTCGAATATCCGTTTCGTCTCCGCTTTCGTAGTCCATGATATTAGCCTGGGCGCGGACCGACGTGCGGCGCGTATTGAGAGGCAGGGGAACACTCTCAGTGGACAGACTTTTGCTTGTAGACGCGACTGGCTCCTTATTTTTGACAGCAGCAGAGCTTCCATTGGCCCGGTGGGGATCATCTAATCGGATAACCTTGGATAGCGGGACAAGGTCATGTGGGTCGTCATCATCTTGAAAAAAAGGGGGTAAATTTACAAAAACACCTTGCATTGTAAAATGTACTTACCAGTCAAATCGCTGCTGGAGCTGGAGACGGCCTTTCTTTTCGTTTGTTTCTTCTTAAGCTTCGCCAACTCTTCTTCCAGAATGTTTGGATTCTGCCTTAAAAATCGGCGCAACTTCTTTTTGTATCTATGGAAGGAAAGTAAGAATAATTATTACATTGCACTGTAAACTTAACTTAACTTGACTTACATAGCTTGGCCTTTGGCGGCCGCTTCTATGTACGGAACCTTGCACTCTTTCGAAAGCTGATGCCATTTATCATAAATGAATTTTTCGCGGTGAATTTTCGAAAGTTGCAGCCAGGTTTGCAGGCAGTCGCGTTTCAGTTCCTTCCGTCTTTCGTTTGTGAACCGCACATAGGCTTTCAATGGTGGTTTAGGGGCTCCTGGGGCAAAGATGCGGCGTTTGAGTTTCTTTATTTTTTGATCTAAAAATAAAATGAAATAAATATTGTTCTAATAATGTTCGGTTCGTACTTACTTAGAACGTCGTCGCTGTCGGAACTTGAGCTCAATTCGACTGTGATTCAATTCCCCAGGCGAGCGTGTACGTCATGGACGCTCTGAAGATGCATCTTCAGATTCACTTTCTTAGCGCTCTTATATGGACAGAGCGGGCATTCGAAATCTGTTGTCTTTGGTCCAAATGCACAGCTATACTGTTTATGTCTTAGTAAGGATTTTTTAATCATTTTTTTCTTGCATTGTTTGCATCTTACGAATCCTAATTCTAGTTCGCTCTAGAAAATATAAATAAGTGAAAATATAAAATATACTTACATATACTTTAATTTACTTACATCGCTGGAAGAACTGCAACTTGAAAAACTGGACGCATGACCATGCACTTCAACCCATCTTGTGAATGTTACGGGCAGGTCTTTGTTCCATGGCCTTTCGTCCCATGGAGGTAGGCTGGAGGTTGTTGGATGGTCTTCATCGCTTGAAGAAGATGATTTGATGATTAAAAGGAAAGTGGCAAAAAGTTAACAAAACTCTAAACAAAAACCGGCGCCGGCTTGCAGAAAAATGAGTGTGACCAGATAGGCAGATGAGATGATGCCAACTCGGTGGAAAAAGGATGGACGCAAAGTGCTCAAAATGAGCCATTTAAAAATGGCTGACTTTGATGATTTAATTTAATTTTTAAATTTACCTTAAAGTTTGTTCGCTCTAGAAAATATAAACAAATGAAAATAAAATGATATGTAATCCAACAATATATGATATGTAGCTTGGCAGGTCAATTTAAAAATAAAATATATATATTTATTTTGTGCTCAATAATTGAGCCGCGCCGCTCATTTAGCTCAACTGAACGGCGTCGACGGCGGCCGGAGTCTTCTAGATTTTTCGGCGGGCGTTATTGAACAAACGGAAAGCACGTGGCTTCAACTACAGTACAGTTCAACAGAAGGTTTTTCTCATTTTCCTTTTTTTTCGTTTTCTCAACGTAAGTATTACCATATATATAATATATATAGAGAGCCGTTGCAAACTGCCTGAAGTCTCATTGTAGAGTGTGTTGCAAAAATCCATTTATTTGCTTGCTGAGTTTTGGACCACACCATGTCCGCCTTCGTGTGGGTCACTTCACATAAAGGTGCTGTTTTATTGTTAAACAGCTGAAACTCACAGCGATTGTCGACATTGAAGACTGTTTGATGATCAAAGCAGATGTATTCTGCGTTGAGTAGTTTAAAGCAGCGTCGAAATTCGTGACAGGCAACATTTGATCAGCTGGTAAGTGATCCCGGATTTGGTCTAGTTGCTCTCTTAATTGCTCAGGAGATACTAGTGTTGGGCTTATTGTCCGATGGTGAATGCCGATTAATACATCAGATATGTCAGACTGCATACGTTGAAGACTCGTTGTCAGCAGAGTTAGTTGTGCTGTGAGCCCTAGGTATGACTGAATTAGATGATCGCCATGATATGTTCCTCTTTCTCGGCTGATGGTTGCCACTTGTTGTTCCAATACCTTTAGGCGGTTGTCCATGGCTGACTTATCCTTCCTGATCACGTTCATTGTGGAGTCGACAATTGACGTTTGATTTCGTAGTAGATGTAGCAGAAAGTCTTCGTTGGTTTGTACCTTTTCGATTACTTTGGCCATTTTCTCAGCATATGTAGAGTCAAGTACACCGAATAGCTGGTGTGCCACGTTTCCTACTATATCCAGCGGTGATCTGCGTTGTCGAGAGGCATCATTAGCATATTTCCTGTTTGTAGTTCTTTGTACAAATGTTGAAAGTGTTGAAATATGGAGTTGCACGCTGGAACATTTTTTAGTTCAGGGCACATGTGTCTTAGTTCGGACATTCCGGCTGACATGACTTGCATATCCTTCCAATATGGATCCAAGTCGTAGTATACAATCATGGTCCATTCGGAAGTGGTCATTCTTGAGGTTCCAAGTTTCTCATAGAATATTCCAGGCTTGTTTGCAAATTGCGTCACATTTATTGATTGTGAAAATGCTAATGGCAGCATGAGAAGTAGCACTACCAATGTGGATGTTAGTGTAGGTAATGATAACCCTTTTCGCTGTATTGGTGGCTCCTTTATTTCCGCAATGTCTTGAATAGCATTTTTGGAGCGTTTTGTTGCTACCTCCTCTGAGAGTAATGGGGCGAGACGACTGATGGGGCGTTTGTATACGCCGGACGATGTTTTGACATCAACCACTCGTACATGGTTGTCTTGCCCAGGATAAGTTTTGATGATGCGACCCATTGGCCATTTCATTACTGGAAGGTTGTCTTCCTTCACCAAAACTAATAATCCTTCGGTCACGTTTGGAGCGGTGGTTTTCCATTTATGGCGAGTTTGTAGTTCGTGGAGGTATTCCGTAGACCATTGTTTCCAAAATGCATGTTTTAAGCGTGAAACCAATTCCCAGCGCTTAACCAGAGTTTTCTCTTGACGATCGGTGTTGACGTCAGGTGCTGCGGTCAAAGGTTCACCGATCAGGAAATGCCCTGGAGTAAGCGCACTTGTATCCGTTGGATCATTTGACATTGGAGTTATAGGTCGGGAGTTCAGAATTGCTTCAATTTCGATTATGACTGTGTTCAGCTCCTCAAACGTCAAGGATGCTGTTTCTGTGGTTGTAACTAACAGCCTTTTCGCTGATTTTACCGCAGCTTCCCAGAGGCCGCCAAACGATGGGGCCCGAGGAGGAATGAATTTAAAATCTACTTGTTTTTTTTTGCAATGATTTGTGATCAGAGCATGTGCCCTTTCGCTAAATATTTCTTCTTTCAATTCCTTTAGCTTGTTATTTGCGCCGACGAAATTTGTTGCGTTGTCGCAATGAATAGTCTGACACTTCCCGCGTCTGCTAAGGAATCGCCGGAGTGCTGCCAAGAATGCATCTGTGGTTAAGTCACTTACTAACTCCAGATGTACAGCCTTTGTGGAGAAGCAGCAGAATACGGCAATGTATGCCTTATCTGGCCGTTTTCCTCGGATTTTATGGTGGATCATAATTGGTCCACAGTAGTCAACGCCTGCATTAAGGAATGGGCGTGCTTGCGTGACTCTTTGTGCTGGAAGATTGCCCATGATCTGGTGCATCAGCTTTGGTCTGGCTCTGGTGCATGTAATACAGCTATGTATGATGCTTCTAGCCATCGTCTTGTCGTTGATAATCCAATATTGTTGTCTTGCGATTGCCCTTAATGCTTGGGCACCGCAATGCAGATTTTCCTCATGAAGCTCACGCATAATCATTTTGACTATTGGGTCGTTGTACGGTAGCAGGATTGGATGTTTTGCATTGAACGGAATTTGAGCTTCTTCGAGTCTTCCGCCAACTCGGATGAGCTCATCATCTCCTAGTAAGGGAGATAACGAAATGATTGAACTCTTTTTATCCACTGTTTTATAGCGTTTTAATTGTTTTAAATCCGCTGTGAACTCAACTTGTTGAATCGTTCGTAGGATCATAGTGCGAGCACGCCTTAGTTCTCCTGCGCAAAGTGTCGTTGTAGGTGCTCTATTAGTTGTTTTGTAGCAGAAGCGAAACATGTACGCTACAATACGTTGTAGTTTGTTGAACGAGTTGCTATGTCTGCATGTGTATAACTCTTCTCCGAGAGAGCTAGATGCGATTGGCAAGCTGACATGCTTAGCCTTTCTCTCGAGATTTCTGGGCTCAATGATGGGTGGTTTTGTCCATTTATCTTCTGATCCGTGCAAGAATAATGGTCCGTATAGCCATAGACTATGATCCCTTAGCTTGCTTGCTAGGATTCCTCTTGAAAGGACATCTGCTGCGTTGTTGGCTGATGAAACATGACGCCATTGTAATTGGTTCGTCAATGCCTGGATTTTGGCGATTCGATTTGCCACGAATGTGTGGTATGTGGACGCCGATGCGTTAATCCAGGACAGTACAACGGTGGAATCAGTCCAGAAGATTCCTGATACTGTGTCAGGATTCATATGGAGATCCTTTCTAACTCGATTGGTGAGTTCGGCACCTAAAACTGCAGCGCACAGTTCTAGACGTGGTAGGGATTGTTTGGCGGTGGGTGCTACTCGAGATTTTGAGCATAATAGTCGTACAGAGACCTGATTGTTTTTGTAGGTGGCTCGTACGTACACTGCCGCGCCATAGGCTCGTTCCGATGCGTCTACAAAGGTATGTAGATCCTGGGTGACTGGCACTTTTCCATCATATACGTGCCGGGGAATCTCCATTGAGTTTAATGATTGTAGGTCCTCCCGGTACTCCTTCCATTCGTTTTGGAGTTGTAATGGCAGTTCATCGTCCCAATCGAGTTTAATCTCCCACAGCTGTTGCATAAATATTTTTGCCTTGACTATCACCGGGGCAAAGAGACCCAGTGGGTCAAAGATTTGGGCCAATTCTGAGCACACGACCCTTTTGGTGATGCGTGTTGCTTGGCTTTTTGTGGTTCGTCCTCGCAGTTGGTCTTGTTTTGGCATCCAAATGAGACCCAGCGTTTTCACGCTGTATTGCTCTAATGTTTCACCTAGTTTGACGTCGTTTACAATGTCCTCTTTAGGGATTCCTTGCAAGAGCTGGTCGTTGTTGGAGCACCATTTGCGAAGTTTAAGACCGAACGGTAGCAATATTTTATTAAGTTCTTGTTGAACTTGTATCGCTTCCTGAATGGTATCCGCGCCAGTAAGACAGTCGTCCACATAGAAATCGTTCTTCAATGCAGCAGATCCAATAGGTAATCTGTTTTGGCTCCGAGTTGCCAAATGATCCAGACATTTCGTTGCCAGGAATGGAGCAGATGTGGTCCCATATGTGACTGTTTTTAAGCGATAGTACCTGATATCTTCAGATGGATTGTTTCTCCAGACTATCATCTGATGAAACTGATCCTCTGGACTTATCCACACTTGTCGGTACATTTTCTCGATGTCCGCTGTGAATACGTACTTATGTATACGAAAACGTAGTAGAATGGACATAAGTTCACTCTGAACTGTGGGTCCGGCATGCAGAATGTCGTTTAGAGACTTTCCACTTGTTGATTTGCATGATGCATCAAACACGACCCGTAACTTTGTGCTGGTGCTCTCAGGTTTGAGTACACAGTGGTGTGGTATGAAGTAGTGTCTCTCCGGCACTTGAGTTGCTGGGACCATCTTCATGTGTCCAAGTCCTTCATATTCATTCATAAATTCCACATAGTCTTTCCAGGTGTCTGGTGAAATCCGTCGCTCTAATGCCAGGAATCGTTTCGTTGCAGTTTCCAAAGACCCCCCCAGGGCTGAAGAGTGTTCGGAAAAAGGGAGTTTTACTATCAACCTGCCATCCGATGCTGTTTGTAAGTTCTCTATAAAGTGAGCTTCGCAATGTGCTTCGATTGGCGTGCGTGGTTTTTCTTCCGTCTCTAAATTGTCCAGAGTCCAGAATTTTTCCATTAGCTCGTTGAGTCCAATTGCACAAATGGATG